TTCCTTACAGTTATTCCATGCAAACGTAATTTTTAAATTATTAATTTTGTGTGAGATAAGCTTATCGTGTACTATACTGAATATGAGAATATTTAATGATCGCTTTGTAATTTTATTCTTATTTTGTTGGAATGAGAGAAAGAAGAGAGAGATGTGAGGAATCATTTGTAAATGCACAGAGAAAAAACTTTTATAAGAATAAATTTAAAATTTTTTATTGATTTAATGTATATTTTGATATATGAGAATAAGTTGCAAATCACTTATATGATAGACGTTGTAGTTGTACTTCTTTCCTTCTTCCTCGAAGTCACACTCACATGTTAGATGCTACTCAAAACAATAATCTAAATAAAAAGCCATTAATTATTCGAATCAAAATTATTTTGTCTTTATTTTCAGTTCCAGCCAGGAGGACATATTTCCTGACATCTTAATTTCCACGTAGCTCACCTCGATCGTCTTTTTGCTAAACAGATAGATGCTATGTAGCTTTCACTGACTGATTGTGGTTATTAATTTTCGAACAATCGAATCTTATACATGCAAAATGATAAGGGGAAAAATCCAATAACAATTGAAAAAGGTTACGTAGAAAGGACAAAGTGAAAGCTATTTCCCCCTTAATTTAAAAACAAAATAACTAATTTACAGAAATTAAAAAAATTAATTAATTCGGTTATTTATTTAAAAAAAGTTATGTTAATTTTCCTAAAATAATTTATTTAATTACTTGCGTTGGCAGCTACCCACAGTAATATAAATCCCTTTAATTAATATATGTAATTGTTAAGAATAATTTAAAAAATAAATAAATTTAGGAGATAGTAGATAGATTATGTTCATATATTTAGAACTAAAACAAAATAAATCAGAGCAAATATATTTGAAAAGCATTCTTTGAATAAATCTTGATTAGTCCTTCGCAAAATTGGCCCTCACAATTTTTCTGATGCTACCCCACTTCCTATAAATAATACTAAGTTATCAACTAATTAACTACACCAGCATTTCAATGGCTGAAGCTACTTCTACGTCGCTGACAAAAAGCCACTACTCAAATGCTAAGCTTGAAGATGAGGCTTACGATGAAGAGTATGAAAAACTTAGCCAACAATGTAAAGAGCTTCTTTCTCTTCCCAGAGAGAAGGGTTGTGGCCACCGATACATCTATCTCTACCAAGACATTTGGTATATACCAACTCGAATTCAAGCCATATGCTCTTTCCAAAAGCACTTCCAAGCAAAAGATAGTGATATTATCTTAGCTTCCCTGCCAAAATCTGGCACAACATGGTTGAAAGCCCTCACTTTTGCCATTGTGAATCGTAAGGTATTTTCCCCTTCACAAAATAACCATCCCCTGCTCTCTTCAAATCCACATGAGCTTGTTCCTTTCTTTGAGTACAATCATTATGTAAACAACCAAATTCCTGATCTCTCCAGCTTGCCTGAACCTAGACTCTTTAGTACACATGTTCCATTTCATTCATTGCCTGATTCAATTACTAAATCCAAGTGCAAGATCATCTATATATGTCGTAATCCATTTGACAATTTCATATCGTTTTGGTTGTTTGTGAACAAGCTCGTATCACCACCTTTACCCAAATTATCTTGCGAGGAAGCGCTTGAGAGGTACTCAAATGGGACTAACGAGTGTGGTCCATTTTGGACACATATTTTGGGTTATTGGAAAGCCAACCAAGAGACACCAAACAAGGTTTTGTTTTTAAGGTATGAGGATTTGAAAGGAGATATTAGTTTCCACTTGAAAAGAGTGGCTGAGTTCATAGACTGCCCATTCAATTCTGAGGAGGAAAGCAATGGTGTGGTTGAAAACATAATTGAGCTGTGCAGCTTTGAGAAGATGAAGGAATTGGAGGTGAACAAGACTGGAAAATTTGTGCAGAAGTTTAAAAACAAGGATTTCTTTAGGAAAGGTGCGGTTGGTGATTGGGTTAATTATTTTTCGCCCTGGATGATAGAGAAATTATCCAAAGTAATGGAAGAGAAGTTTTCTGGTTCTGGGCTGTCCTTTCAATATAAGATCTCTTAGCAAAAATTTCTAGCTGCAGATTATAAGGATGAAATCTCTGCCATAACTTAATGCTTCCTCTTCCACTTTAATCGCCATGTCAACTCTGGAACCGTATGACCTCCTTCAGCTAAAAAGTAACATGTCAAGTCCTCATCCAGTTCAGGTTCAGTCATATAGTTGTGCCGTGTTTTGTTTTGTTTTGTTTTTTTATGTCTATGTTCTCTCTTATTGTATAACTTTAAATAATTAAGGCCAAAAAAGTATAAATTTAAATAATTGTGGAGATTCTGCTTAATTTTACTTTGTATTATTTTATTTTTTAAGAAAATAATAAATAAATACTACCTCCGGTCCTTAATATAAGACGCTGTTTGACTTTTATTTTGGTCCTAAATATAAGACCCCAATCCACTTTGTCTCTCATATTTATGCATTTTTTTTCAAAATAGTCCCTATAATAATTGTAATCCTGGCCAATATAGTTTATTAGTAAGGATATTTTAGGAAAGACAACACTTATTTATTACAAATAATTAACTTAACTTCTTTCATTAATCTCATCAAATTAGTCAACTGGATCTTATAATTAGAACCGGAGGTAGTATATGAATTTAGGAACCTGTCTATTTTGTTACCTTTATATTTTTAACGAAAGGAAAAATAATTGCTACAGCAATGCTCAGTGGAGAGACCTTGCTGAAGAGAAACCGATCTCGTGAGAAGAACACAGTGGAGGAGGTACTACTGGGTAAAATATTTCATTCATTAAGCTTATTTCTTTTGATAAAGTTAAAAAGAAGAAGAAGTGAAATTAGGTAAAAGATGAGGTTTCATTTTCAATATATTATAACTTCTTTCCATTCCAAATAATGATTTTCAGTTATCATTGTCCCATCACTTGTGGAATGATTTCTTAACGAATGAAGTATGAATTATATTTCATTCTTACCCTTTCATATATTGACTGTTAAATGGATATATAATAGAGGTCTTATTTGTCAAACAATTAAAAATAAAATTTAAAGTAATATTTTTAAAAATACTGGATAAATATCTCAATGTATTTTAACATTGATGTCACAACCTAAAATTGTTTGGGAATACATAGAGAGCAACCCTGGATTATCAATAAGTCCAAACTTACCATTTGCAATTCGGGTTAGGAAATAAATGATGATATGGGCTTCAGGTGCGATAATTTGGCCCTTCTGATTAGGAGGGACCAGTAGCTTTTGCAAGTGGTAGAGAGAACTGCCGCTTGTAACTTTGGACTTCGCACTTTTTGACTTTAACTTTTTAGAGAAAGGTGAATTTGCCGTGAACAAAGGCTTGGATCCGCGTTCAATTTTGGGCATGTTCTCTGAACTTACAAAAATAAATATATTAATATATTTTTAATTAAAAGTGTATCTAGTATTCTAAAGCTTTTGTTTATATATATCTAGTATTATAAAGTATTTTGTAATGCATTAAACATTTTAAAATATTTTTTTAAGTGTATCCAATACTCTAAAATATTTTTTTAGTGCACTTTTACGCTTAGCAATTCAGAATATTCGATACACAGAATAATTTAGGGGTGATAGATGCACATGAAAAAATATTTCAAGATATTAGATATACCAAAATAAAATTTAGAGTGCTGAATATATTTAAAAAATAAAATACTTCAAGTTAATCTATAGGGAAAAAGTCAGAAAAATGACAGATCAACTTAGGAATGACAGAAACATCCGCAAAATTTGCAAAATCCCATTTTGGTCACATGAGACCAAATTGGGATTATCATGTTAAATGAAAAGATCAAATTGCCCTTCATTTTATTTATTTTTTTAAAATACTAAAGCTCTCACTGGCCAACAATTGGTCATCCTAGCTCCAGTTGTCAGAAACAATTTTTTTAAAATTTTTTACAACTTTAATATAATGGTTAATCACTTTTGTAACGCTATTAATAATTTCAGTATAACAATTAACAATGGGTTTGATAGTTTAAAAACAATAAATAAAATGAAGGGCAATTTGGTCTTTTATTTTAACATGATAATCCTAATTTGGTCTCATGTGACCAAAATGGGATTTTGCAAATTTAGCAGACATTTCTGTCATTTCCAAGTTAGTCTATCATTTTTTTGTTTTTTCCCCTAATATATACACACACCATATACTTTAGGTTGTTGAATAAACCTTCATATATTTTTACATGAGAATTGATCATTGGAAAGCCATCAATTTTATGCTCCATTTATCATAGGCAAAGACTGGTGATAACTGTCATTGTTAATATTTTCTCTGCTTTGCACTTCTTACTCTATGTTTGGTGTCAGGGATTTGAAAGAAAGGGGGGGAAAATTTTAATCAGTTCAATTTGAAAAATTAAAAAAATAGAGTCATAAAATTTTAATAAAGAGAAATACAAAGTAACCCTTTTTTTTTTTTTGCCAAAAGGAGAAAATTAAAATTGGAGGGATAATGCACTTGTTGTTTTATATATATAAATGCTTCGAGAGTAGTAATGAATCCACTGACACTTCGGCATCCTCTGCAAGTGGCAGTGGTCCCTCGCCATAGGAATCAAAGTTATCGTCATACTTCGTTGCCCCCACTAAACTTTCTGTATAATTTTCAATGATTTAGTTGTCTTCAGCTTTTTTTAATTCAAACATTGGTTGGCACAGTACAATAATGATCATATTAAATGATTATTTTGGTGTCATATATTATTGAAATATACTTGTTTAAACCGGCTCCCTTGGCGTGCACAGCTGATCGGACTATCAGCGAATGCGTCTGCATCTATCTCTTCACATGCTCCATAATCAGATCCTTCTATAATACTATACTATAGTGACCACGATTTTTAATTTCAAATAATGGCAATAATCGATTGCCAGATCAATGGTATATAAAAAATGGAAACTTGTTTACTAGTTAATTACCCAACTATACCATCCTTCTAATGGCTGAAACTAGTGTCACTTCCGTCATAAAAGGTCAGCCAAATGTTGAGTCTGAGAACGAGATTTGCCATGAAGAGTATGAACAATACGGCCAAGAATATAAGGATCTGTTCAAATCTCTTCGCAGAGAGAAGGGTTGGGCTTTCCCAAACATTTATCTCCATGAAGACATGTGGTATGCCAGTTCCAATCCAAGGCGTGCTCTTTTCAAAAGCACTTCCAAGCAAAAGATAACGATATTGTTATCGCCACTTTACAGAAATCTGGTAATACTTGGTTGAAATAAAGCCCTTATTTTTGCCATTGTGAATCGTAAGCATTTCTCTCCAGCACAAAGTGACCATCCTTTGCTCATTTCCAATGCACATGAGCTTGTTCCTTTTATAGAGTTAAATTACTATGCAAATAACAACCAAATTCCTGATCTATCTAACCTGCCTGAACCAAGAATTTTTTGTGCACGTGTTCCGTTTCATTCGTTGCCCGATTCGATTACCAAATCCAAATGCAAGATAATTTATATATGTCGAAACCCATTTGACCAGTTTGATTCTTTGTGGCTTTTCATGAACAAAATTGCACCACTATCCTTACCAAAATTATCATGGGAGGAAGCATTTGAGAGATACTGTAGCGGAATCCATGAGGCTGGCTCATTTTGGACGCATATGTTGGGTTATTGGAGAGAGAGTAGAAAAACACCTTCCAAGGATCTATTTTTAAAGTATGAAGATCTGAAAGGAAATATCGAATTTCACTGGTTGAAGGGAACAGCTGAGTTCTTGGAATGCCCTTTCACTTCAGATGAGGAAACTAATGGAGTTATTAAAAACATAGCTGAGCTATGTAGCCTTGAGAAGATGAAGGAATTAGAAGTCAAACAAGACTGGAAAATTCTTGCAGCAGTATGAAAACAAAGATCTCTTTAGGAAAGATATAGTAGGAGATTGGGTTAACCATTCTTCACCTGGGATGGTAGAGAAATTGTCTAAAGTGATTGAAGAAAACTTGGGTCGGTCTGGTCTATCCTTTTGATTGCTTGTTGATGAGATATAAGATTAATATGAATTAGGATTTTTTTCATCAAAATTATCTCGGCTTTGGATTAAGATTTGACTTGAATAAGTGTAATTTTTTAAAATTTATTCCAGAATATTTTTATTTAATTCTTAGGAGTTCTGTAATATTTGCTTTTAATGCTATCAATTGCTAGTATTATGGATTAAGACTTACAAATAAGCCCTAACACATTCTCATTTGTAACAATTTAATGATGAGTTGAATAAGATTGACAGTTACTGTTAAGCATCACAACACCCTAAACACGAAATGCACAGCATAGGCAAATCGAAGAGCATCTATACTATTAAATCTGAGATCACAAATGCACAAAGCCTAATGGGCCCCATTTATACAATCCATTAGCAACAAACTCTAAAAATAAACTGGGCTGAGAAAGATGGGCCTTACAAAGTAATGTAATAGCCCAAAAAGATTACAAGGCTAACGAGAATACAAATACATCAAAATCAAATACTAGGATTCATTTACTATTTCTGCACTCCCCTCATGTTGGGAAGGAGAAAACAAGTTGACAGTTCCCAACTTGCCCAATAAACGTCTCTATATGTCTCCTCCAACATCTTTTCTAAGGAGATCAGCCTATTGATTCTTTGTCCCAACATGTATCAAATCAATCAGCCTTTGTTGCCACTTTTCTCTAATGAAGAGACAATCTATTTCCATATGCTTTGTATGTTCATGGAATACCGGAATTGTAGTGATATGAATTGCTACCTTGCTGTCACAATAAACCCTCACAGGCTGTTCATGATGAATTCCAAGATCCTTTAATAGTGCTCGTGCCCAAACAACCTCTGATGCAGCCATATTAAGAGCCTGATATTCAGCCTTGGTTGAAGACTTTGACACTATGCTTTGCTACTTAGTCTTTCGCATAACAAGTGATCCTCCAAGCTTTAATAAATAACCAATAACTGAGCGTCTAGTAGGGCTGCAGGAAGTCTAGTCTGAATCACAATAGCACTTTAAATTTGGTACTCCATCTGCACTTATTAACACTACCAGTCTAGGCTTTCCTTTAAGATATCTCAAGACATTCCTAAGTGCTGCCATATGGCTTTTAGTTGGTGAATGCATGAATTGGCTAGAAGTCTACAAAGGAAAACAAATGTTAGGGCGTGTCATTGTTAAGTAGATTAGCTTACCTGCTAGCTTTTGTATCTCTCAGGTTTCTTCAACAAATCCTCTACCCTATCTTTGCTTGGATTGTGCGGCGCAAGTTTCAAACTTTGTGGGATAGGGATGGCAAGTGGTTTATAGCCACTCATACATGTTTCAGATAAAACATCTAGCACATATTTATGTTGAGAGAGCATAATCCCCTTTTCAGATTTTGCTACCTTTATGCCTAGAAAATATCTCATATGTCCTAGATCTATTATTTTAAAATTCTCACGAAGAAGTGACTTTGCTTTATTAATTCCAACTTTTGAACTACTAGCTATCACAAGGTCATCTACAAAAACAAGAATCAGAACTATGCTATCACTGTTGTTCATAATAAAAAGAACTAACTTCCAAGTATTATGGGCCTTAAGAGCTTCCATTTCAACTCTGAAAGCCTTAACCTATTCTTCATTCTTAATAGCTTCATAATAACTAGATGGTTCAGTCACAGAATCAATTGAATAGAGAAAGCATAACTGATTATAAGAGACATTATCATAGCCAATATAGTCACTAATTGAGTATCTACATTTAGATTTGCAATGCTGTTTATTTTCAAAAATCATAGAGCAAACATAGTCATTAGATCAAATAGGGGGCCTTCGATTTCTAGTAGGCCTAGAACTATTCAAATTAATTCTTGTATTAGCATTGTTATTACTCAAATGAGTCTCTTCATTTAAGATATTATATTGTTGCATATTGTTGTTTCCGCATAATCATGCAGGGGCTCATACCAGAACATGTCTCTCAAATCTCTTTCAACTCCCCCTTAATCACTAGGCATATTGATAACCTCTTGAAATTCCCACTAATTTAGCTCATGTTAATACTCTTTTATGATTTTTGGAAGCTAAATATGTATGCTTCCTCCCTAAAGTAGGAAAATATAATTTGAATGTGTGAAGATTGCTTTGAACTAACTTTTGGGGATTATTTGTGCAAATTCTTGTGAGATTTGTTATGCAAGGAAAAGTAATAGCTAGAAGTTGCATGACAAGAAGAAGTTTTCAACTTGTTTGGGAGCATTAGAAGAAGACCGTGGAAGCAGAAGGAGCAAGGAATGAAGTACCAAGATGAAAAGGCTAAAGATTACGTCATTCACTGTAGCATCTAGAAAGAAAGGGGAGCATCCACTATAAAAGGTGCTGTAGTACCTACTCATTTTGAAGACCCCTCTTTGTGTAATCCACTGTGGCGGATGAATCCATCCACCATGGTGTAATGGCCGTTCTTCCAAACCCATTTAAAGTAAATCAAATAATTTATTTTGAAAAATTAACCATGATAGAAAAGAAAAGGCTTAAAATTGTAAAACCATTATCATGGTTAAAAGAAATAAACTTACGTCACCAGTAACTCATGTTAAAAAGGCTTTGCACATCTAGTCATGGTTTAAAGATAAAGTACTATCCTGTTTGAATAGATGGAATTAGTTTATATCAATCCTTAACTGGGGCTTTGGACTTTCAAAGTCCAGAGATAACATTCAACCATAAGCCTAGACAAAAACTCATACTCTCTAACATACCCACTGGTAAATCTTTTCAAAATAAACCATGATGTCCAATAATCAGAAGTCAATATTTTGAAAAGAGGGTCACATGCAAAGTCCTAAAGGAGGCCTTCTAACAGCATTCCCATCAAATAACAACCATCTAAAGTATCAGTTTACAAAATCAGAGTAAATGAGCCCTATATGGCAATATATAATAAATCAGCACATAAAACAAAAAGATGAAGGCTATACAAGCTATAACAGCATACTAAGCCTTTGGGGCCCTTCTTGATAGACTAACACTTGAACTATCACCAAAAAATATTAGAAACCATGAGGTGAGACAAAAGTCTTAATAACTAACTTTTCAACTCATTATACAAACTAACATGTGCTCATGAGATGTCGAGTGGGACAATTATCAAATCTCAAGAAATATAGATATATTGATAGAATTATAAAGCATGTATACAAATACAATCTCAATCATACAAACCCTCACTATGGGGGCTAACACACAAGCCACATAAATTTATCCCTCACTATGGGGATAATTAGACATATGGGCTTATTTTGGGGGATGAATAATTAGCCATAAGGGCCTATCTCTCACTATGGGGCATGAAAGAAGTATTCACACCGTAGGTGCACGAGTTGTGACAAATGATAAAGTAATGAGTAAAATATTGTTCTCATGGTGATTTGGTTTCAAAACCCAGTTAAGTATTGATAATCACACTTTTTCCTAATTTGAGTGACACAAATACCCATAATGAAAGGAATCTATTTTTAGAATTCAAAATTAATAAAAAGATAAAATGATTCTTCAACTCCAAGGATTTAAAGGGACCTAGGATTATTTATCCCTCTTATATTTCCAAAGTATTTAATTAAATCCCCACTATATTTGCTTCTTAATTATAGACTATGCTAGCCAAGAACACTAAATTACCTATAAGTGCTCTCTCAAGTTTCCAAATAAGTGTTTAGTTCAATTAAGGGTTAAAGTGCGCCCAACACCTTGAACTATTTACCCAGGTGCGTCCAGTGGCCTAAAGTAATTTTGAGTGCATCCAGTGTCCTAAACTAATTAAAATGGTGCGTCCATATCCCAGGTTAACAGAAATATTATGTTTAACTGTTACTTTCCTGACTCAGCTTAAAGTTGACCCCAGATATTCTACATGGTAGACACATGGGCACCTGATGTGTATTATTCTTACTCAAAAGTCAATTGATTTAGAAGAAGAGGAAGGAAATATATTCAATTTTGAGTAAGAATAATACATATCAAATGTCCATATGTCTACCATTTAGAATATCTAGGGTCAGCTTTAAGCTGAGTCAGGAAAGTAACAGTTAAACATAACATTTCTGTTAACCTGGGATATAGACGCACCATTTTAATTAGTTTAGGACACTGGATGCACCCAAAATTACTTTAGGCCACTGGACGCACCTAGGTAAATAGTTCAGGGTGCTGGGCGCACCTTAGCCCTTCAATTAATTCATTAATCTCTTAATTAATTAATTAAACCCCAATTTTCATTGCAAACCTTATGTGCTATGTGAGGTTAAAAAGTATCTCTCTATCTCATTATTCAACTCACAAATTTCAAGTTCTCATATGATTAAACCCAAGTTCTATACCTAACCTAGCTCTCTCAAGCATCAATCAAGTGAACCCAATAATCATTATTTCAAAATATTAAACGGTAAAGAGGCAAATTTACCTATTTTAATATCAAAAAGGAGCACCAGGCACCCTAATAAAATGTTAGGAGCAAAAAACCACATGAACTTTTGCTCAAACATTGACTATTTAAAGAGAATATTTTGACTAAAAAATACTGATGTGGGTGCATACATGGCATAATAAAAGGAGAAGTGGACGAGGAAGTGAGTTTTAAAATGTGTTTGGTATGTTAGTGGAACTGATGTAATAATTTTATTAAATTTGTAAATTTATATTCGTAAAAGAGTGAATCACCCATGAAATTTGAAAAACAGAAAAGAAAAGAAAAAAAGAAAATCAACCCATATCAGTTTATCATTCTCGTTTGGCAATTCCATAATCCCCAACAATGGTGGTGACAACGGCATCCATGGGTTTTAAAGCTTCACCATTGTTAATGGTAACCATTAACACTAAATTCGAACAAG